GTCTCTTGGTGACAAGTCACCCCAGCTTTGCTGGAGAGAGCGCACAGGGAGATCAGTGGTCCACAAACAGGCTCTTGTTGCCTGTGGTACATCACTTGTTGCTGATGAATGACGGACCCCCCGATGGGACCCCCATCCCAGTGGCTTAGGAAGTTCTTTTCCAGCCGGAATTTAGATCACAGAACCGAGTCAACCCTCCCACATGCCGGCCAAACACGGGGCCCTGGCAATATCTGCGCTTCACAGGTTATTAAACAGACCTCTGGGGCAACTGTGGTGGGTGGCGTGAGGCTGTCTGCATCCGCAGAGATGCGCTCCTGTGTGCCCCAGGGAGCCGGGGGCAGGCTGACCTTTCCTGTGGCTATGCCGTGGTGCTGTGAAATGACTCTCTGTGAGTCAGAAGGTGGGTAGGTGGCACAGCTAAATATAACGATGGGCAGGTTGTCCAGCACATTAGCTTTCTTCCTTTGGAGCAAAAGCAGACAACCCCCCCCACCCCGAATACAAAACAAAAGCAATACGTAATGGCCAACACAACCCCAAAGTAATCAGAGGCCAGAATTAAAATCTAAGGCATAAACTCCCAATTTCAGCTCAAATATGGGCGGGGGGGTGGGGGGAGGTAGGCAACAGAGAAAGAACATTTAGTTCAAAGTCTTCCGTGAACCACTCAAGACCTACATGGGCCAGTCAGGTTGCGAAGGGGCTGGGGTCGCAGGTGTAGGGTCTCTCATCCCCGGAGGCCTTCTGTGAGGAGCTCAGTGGGCAGAGAAGAGAAGGTACCAAGGAAGGTTAAGGCTGGCTGGGGAGAGGGCAGCAGCCTGCCCTGGCTGTCTATAAAACAAGGCAGAGAAATGCATAAGAAGGATGAAAGCAGCATGGGGGTGCCGTGGGACCCCAGCCAGGGCATGGGTACCCAGGAACCAAAGCTCAGCCATCTCCCCATAGACCCGAAAGTCCACAGGACTAGGAACTGGGTATAGGCTGTGTCTGGTCCCTGAAGGCAGATGGCAGCTTGGGACAAGGTAGAAAACTTCCCACGGGGCTCTGAGGGGATCCCTGCATCTGATGGCAAAGGCTGACAGCAGGACTCCCCCAAGTGAAACCAGGGAATGGCTATCCGGAGCCTGAGGAGATGTGAGTGCTGAGTGAGGAAGCCACACCCAGGTAGGCAACAGGCAGGCAGGAGCTGGGAATTCAGAGACAAGATCCTGGGCTTGCCCTCGAGATCTTCACAGCAGGGTGAGAAAGACCTAGAGTGCATTCGGGCAGACTCTCAGAGGGCTGGTGCTGGCCCAGGGGTGTGCAGGATGGCATGTATGATCTCCTGCCCTGGCCACCAGTGAGGACCCTGTGAGAACCGGCAGGAAGTAGTTGAATCGCAAGCCTGTCAAGTGTGCTGGGCACTGCTAACTAGTTATTCTGTCTATCCTCATGTTCTCCAACCCGAGGAAAAGTCCCTTTCAGCAAAAATCTTAGGCTTTCTTCTTAAAAACCCCGTTTGTAGAAAAACTCAGGCATCTCGGAATTGCAAAGAGAGAAAGAAACACTTGTGTGTTAAGACCACAGGCACACTGCCTCCGGCTTCTGAGTGCTTAGGGACGAGTCACTGTTCTTTAAAAATTAAGACTGAGAACTCCAACAATCCATATTTATTTTCAAAAGGGAACAGCAGACCAGGCCAGAGATGTCGAACAACTCTTATGATTTCAGGGGACAGCGTCAGGAGCGGGCAGGTTGTGAAAGGGAACGCAGCAGATTGCAGAACAATGGCCCACAAAGAAAAGCCATCCCTGGCCCACGGCGGTAACCCCCAAGCTGTCAGTCATGAAGCAACACACAACAAAACGTGCTTTGCATACAGCCCCGGTCTCCAGATGAAGCCTGTGCTGATGCCACTCCCCACAGCAGCCTGTCCCCAGTCTGTTCCTCAGAAGGGTGGCAAGAGGTGTCCTAGCCCACGGGAAGCAGAGCGGGTTCTCACGGAAGCTCAGCAGGCCGCCGGTGTCTCTACTGAACCCCACGCTGCAAACACAGGCCTGTGCCGGGACAGTGCATAGCTCACCACTGGCCACATCTGCAGCCCTCCAAGTGGCCTCTCCAGAGAATTGTGTGGGTCTCACCCCAGGACAGCTGCAAGTTACCTTCCACCTCAGCCCGTTGCTGCGATCAAGGAAGACATCACTTCCGCTCGCCATCTCATCCAACAAAGAGACGATTTGGTAGCAGCTTAAAAATAGTCTCGTATCGGAAGCCTGGAGTTAACCCATCCCCTCCGTCCTGTGGAAAGGTGGCCACTTACGCATCCACACCAGTAGCTCCTGTACTCAAGGCTACAACCGTCGGGCCGTCTGGGAACACCGAAGAACACTCTTATGTGTTCAGGCAGACAATGGGAAGCCTCCAGATGTGTGCAGAAGGCCTTAGGTTTGGTGTGATCGCCGTGTCCACCCAGTGGAGGGAAAGCCGTGTCTGGAGCAGGCTGCCCCTGGGGGCCGGGGACTGCGCCTCTCGAAGTCCACTGTCACTGTGGGAGTTATTTTTATTTTCCTAAGCACATTGCAGCGTTTCTGAATGAATGAGCGTGCTGCCTTCTCTGTGGAAACGAAGAGTGTGGGCTCATTTCCGTAGCCAACTGCTTCTGCGGCTTTGGTTTCCTTCAGCATATTTTATGATAACCAGATGGGCTCTTTTGGCGTCCATGGATTCTATGAATACATGAGAAAGCATCTTTGAAAAATATTCTACCTGGAACAGCTTACACCGACAGACTCCCACGAGAGACCCATTGCCGCCTTTTACCTTTGCAAGTGTAGTTTATTTTAGTTACGTTTTATTCACGTTTATTTTAGGTGCCTGTTACGAAAAGTGTATATTCAGCCTTATTCATTTATGTTCGCCCCCCCGCCCCTTTTATGGAAGCATGAAAAAAAAAAAAAAGCATACTGTCACTGGGCCTGGTTGCTAAGCCGTTTGGGGGTCTTTACCGTAGATTTGGTAGGAGCTTGGTGTATAGCAATCTCCTGGAGTGCTATAGAGCAGCCTGGGCTGGTGAGCTCAGTGGGTTTTTTTTCTCCCCTCTTTGTGGCTGGTGGTTCTGAGTTATGGTTTTAGTTATGTGTGGATGGACCGTGTAACACCGAAAAAGTCACTCACCTCTTTGGAACCTTGGCTTTCTTGGGTGTAGAATCAGTACAGTAATGCCCCGTGCACCACGGCCAGTCCAAGGACACATGCTCCGTGATCAGATCTGATAGGGTTCATCAGAGAGATAGGGCTGCTGCTGGGTACACGGATGTGGCCATAAATGAACAAGAGGGAGCTCCTGAGAGGAGCTGGCTCGCCTGCCCGTGGAGGGCAGGGAGTCTTGCCACAGGCGGCCTGCAAGCTGGAGACTCCCGGGAGCATGGATCAGTCCGAGAGGGAGCCTTGGAGGACACGGGTGTAAATTCTGGAGTCCAAAGGATGGAGAGCCTGGAGTTGTGGAGTCAAGGACGGGACAAGCTATCCAGGGTTCCGCTGATCGGATGATGTTCGCTCATGCCGAGGGCCGCCCTTTCCCTCCCAGTTCCCCAACTTGTAGGCCCACTCCCCTGCAGCCAAGCACATGCCTCGCCAGTCCTGGGGCCTGCTGTAATCTTTGCAGGCTGCCTCTGCTGGGGTGGCTGCTTTCTCAGCACCGCTAGCGCCTGCTTTCAGCTGTCACTTCCCAGTTGTCATGATGATTGTGATATTGTAGTTGAATTTAAGAGGAGCATTTTTTTTCAGCATGTGGAATTACATCCTGAATTGCCCACAGAGATTCCCCTAATGGAAAGATTGAGCACTATAAACGGTAGCTGTGAAGTTCTCACCACAAGCTTACTTTTATTCACGACTCAATCCGTTCTCGTCTGCCCTCCGTCCTAAGAGGGGCTCTAAACTCGCGGGTCCTAGTAGGCTGCCTTCATCTGTTTGTGGCTTTTCGGTCTTGTCTTCCTAGCCATTGTCAGAAAATCTGTTCTGCATTCTATTTGGAATGGCCGGTGTCGGCATAAAGACAGGTGTGATGACTGGATATCGTTTTCTGTTCTTCTCCTGCTCCCACACTGGAGAGTTCCTTCTCAGTGTGCTCTGTGACATCTTTTCCCAGCCTGTCTCGTTCACTTCGGCAGCTGCCCTGTCCCCTCTCCAGCTTTGCTCTTGCTCAGGCTTCTGCCCCAACTGGAGCTAGAAACGCCCTGCCCATGTATGATGCTACCAGTCTTTTCTGCCTTTCGCCGGATTAGAGATCACAACTCTTCAACTATGAAGAGGCCATGAGCTTCAGGATGATTGCTTTTTGAGGTTTCTAGACAAATTTCCTGTGTGTGTGTGTGTGTGTGTGTGTGTGTGTGTGTGTGTGTGTGTGTGTAGTAGCCATGTTCCAGAGTTTTCCAGCTCTAAGCCATTGTAGATATGTATTTTCCCTCTTTCCTAGGACCTGGTATTCCTTGACGGTCCCCCGTGCTCAGCCTCTCTCCTGGGTGCAGGATAGTGTATAGTAGGCACAGCTCTCAGGCTAGAGACGGTGCTGGGAGTCAGAAGGAAGGATTGCTTTCAGTTAGCATACCCAGGGGAGGCCTTGTGGAAGGGTGGGGTCTGAGCTGAGGCACAGGTTTGGGGATATTGGGGCATGCAAGGATGATTGTCCCAGAGTGAAAAACTGAGGCCAGGACGGGGCACAGCCATGTGTCTTGGTAGAATCTTCTAGTCCCTTGGCAGTTGCTGGTCTGATTGACAGCTGGTCTCCAATGCCTGGGAGAGCTGCTTTGCCCTTGGTCTGCCCTTCACTGAGTGTGTCATTCCTTGAGAGCCCCACTGGAACTTCTGGGTCATCCGTTCTCCACAAAAGCCCACTTTCCCCACACCTAGTCCCTAGAAAGAAACTGCCTGCCGAGGGGTGTTGTTGGCAGTGTGAACGAATGCCCAGGGAAGACTCTCTAGGGAGTGGAGACTGCCATGTTCCTTCCTGTTACTAGGTGGAAACAAGACAAACCCCATCTCACAAAACAGACCGTCATGTTTTACCTGGGCCTTCTGTCTTCCTTCCCAGATGGAATCAGTGTGAGCGGCTTTCCCATGTCCAGTCCTTTCCGCCAGGTCGTCCGGCCCCGAGTGGAGAGCAGACCCACGAACCCTTCTGAGGGCAGCAAGACGGGGGACCTTGGCCACCTCAAGGTTAGTCCATTGGTGCCAGGACGCTCTTGGTGACTGCAGAGCCTTCTCCAACTCGGCGTTTGCAGAACTTTTCTGAAGGAGATGGCGGTTGAAAATGGTTTCTTCTCGTGTTTTATGTCTGTGGAATTTCTAGAGAGCAGTTCCGAGGCTGCTCGTGTGTCTTGTACTTTGGTGATGCAAAGCGCTTGTTTTGCTGTGACAGAGATTGGGGAGGCGGGCATGCCAGTGGGGACAGTCAGAGGAGGAGATAATTTTCCCTTGTCCCTCTCCTTTGAGAAATACATTCATTGCCCAGTTCTTCTCAGTTTGGATATTCACCTCATAGCATCTTTTTTAACCAATTAGAAGCTCTTGCAGGTACTGGTTTGTAAGTCCACAATTACTGGGGCTCTCTGTAGAAAGCCAGGATGCTCAGGGCATGAGGGCCAGCAGGAGCAGAGCCTGCTGCTTGCAGAGAGGGTGTGACCAGGAGTCCAGGTGCCAGGTCAGACCCTGCCCAGGGGCACAGTGCGCAGTGGGGTGCTGCAGGGCTCTGAGCTGTGACTGGGGTGCAGGTGCAGAGTCACAGCTTAAGTGAGTGTGCTCATGGCCACCCTGTGGGCGTGCGGCTTGCTGTCCCCATGCCAACCTGTGAGTGGGCATTGACTGATGGGGGGCTGCCAGAGGAGCTTGTCCTGAATGCCCAAGTCGGGTGGGAAGAGCTGTCCTGTGAACGGTTCTGGCTAATGCTGGTGCAGGGTGGAAGGGGTTTGTGTTCTGTGGAGTAGTGAGCTCCTCTGAGGAACGGGGAGGGCTGTTGCCAGTGGCTTGAGGTCTGTCTGTGGAACATCTGAGCATCCCCGAGGCAGAAATGATGTGATTTAATCGGACTTGGATGAAACCTGTAAAATCACCGACCTGTATCGTCATGGCCGATGGGGCCACCATGCACTTTCTTGGACCGGGTACATCACGTTTCCCCAGGTTTCTCTGAAGGATACAGGTGGCCGGCAGGAACTGTGTCCGTGCTCAGGACTGTTGATCTGCGTAAACAGTGGAAGGTGGGAGGACTTGATGACTGAAAATGGATGCTGTGTTTGTTGGGTGGACATCGGTGACAGCCTTCTTAGGGCCAAGGCTGCAGCTCAGCAGCAGAGTGCTCAGCCAGCATGCCCCAGGCCCCGGGTGTGTGTCCCTATCACACAAATTACATAAGTCAGATCTGTCTGCCTCTCAGAGTCCCGTCGGAAAAACCGGAGTACCAATGTTCCCATCGTGGACTTGCTGAGGGGCAGGGCAAAGAGTAAGACCCTGGGACTTCATTTTTGCAGCTAAAGAAAAAGGAGGTTAGGGCAAATGAGTCCGGGTGGCAGCTGCTAGCCCGGGAGCCACCCTGGAGGAAGCAGGGCTGTGGGCTTTTCCTTGCCTGAGTTACCTGGTGTCTAGTCTTGGCTCAGATTGGGGCTGGCTTTTATTGTCTAGCCCTCCTTTTCTAACTATCACTGGGGCCGGTGGCTACCTTTCGAATCACAGGTGATCTGCTGTGGTCCAGTATGACCAAAATGTGACAAGTACTCTGCTGAGAGCCCTCTGAGAGGATGCCAGCTCATGATGCTAGCTGAACACTGGGGGCCTCAGTTGGACTGTGCCAGGTACCACTACAGCTGCGCATAGCTTTGCTTGTGGGAAGCGTAGCTGGACCAGACCTCAGAGATGGGGCGTGGCAGAGCAGCCATAGGAAAGTCAGAGGCCTGGTGCACACAATAGTAGTCCTTTCCATGCTCTGCCTTCTGGTACTTAAACAGGCCTGCTTTCCACTTCATACCTACATGTGGTTTGCTGGAAGAAATTCTGAAATCTTGACAAAGCCGAGGCTTGTCGGGGCAGTGAGCTTTTGGCCCTGTGCCCATTGGCTTTGGAAGGTACTTGCCCTCCCTGTAAGCATCACATCTCTTGAGACCGCAGCTGGCAGGCATAGTAGCCACAGATACGTCTACGGGAGCCTCACAGAGTAGCTAAGGACCGGCCTTGTACTTTAGGAACTTAGGGGAAAAAGTTGGAAAATTAAACCCAAAGTAAGCAGAAAGGAAATAATAATAAAAAAAAAAAAGCAGAAATCAATGAACTAAGAAACAAACAAAGTCCTTAAAATAGACAAAGTAACCAGAAGGTTGTTCTTAGAGAAAGTCAGTGAAATTTATCGACTTCTAGCCAGAGTGATTAAAGAGTAATTATGTAAATTACCAGTATCAGGACCAAGACAGGGAGCTTCTGCACAGGCTTTGCTGAGATGCGGAGGATAAGGGAAGCACATTATGAACAGCTTTATGCAGAGGACGCTGAGATAGGTAAGCAGGGGAGCTCTGTACCCATCAAGGGAAGGAAGTTCTTGTTAAAACCTTTCCACAGAGAAAACTCCTTAAGGGAGAAATAATAGGAAGTCTGTGCAAACCACTTTAGGAAAACTGTGACAGGAGGAATAAGGCCAGCAGGATGGCTCAGGGCTAAAGACGCTTACCATGCACGTCTGAGGACCAGGTTTGTGCCTGGGACCCACATGCAGGTGGAAGGTGAAAACTGACCTTCACAGGTGCCCTGTGGCATGTGTGCTCTCCCAGCTGTCACACACAGGGATAATGATGATATAATATTAATGATAATAATAATAATAATAATAATAATGAAAAAGAACGAGAAGGAATAAGACAAGCAGGTTCTGGAGAAAACACACAAAGCATATGTCTTAATTAGGGTTTTATTGCTGTGATGAGACACCATGACCACAGCAACTCTTATAAAGGAAAACTTTTAACTGGGTCTGGCTTACAGTTCAGAGGTTTCATCCATTATGGCAGGAAGCATGATGACATGCAGGCAGACATGGCACTGGAGAGGTAGCTGCGAGTTTACCTCCTGATTGGCAGGCAGCAGGAAGAGAGTGCCACAATGGGCCTGGCTTGGGCATCTGAGACTGAGAAGCCCACCCCCGGTGAGGTGACTCACTTCCTTCAGCAAGGCCACACCAGCTTCAACAAGGCCACACCTCTTAGTAGCGCCATTCCCTATGAGCTATGGGGCCCATTTTCTCTCAAACCACCACAGCAAAACATCACCACTGCAGACTGTCCCCCACTCCAATCTCAGCTTTAGTAACTCCAAAGCAGGAGTTTAGCCTAGACTACCTAATAGGAAATACAGCATCAGCTGAGCAGGGCTCAGCTGTGGAAAGCAAGGTTGGTTTAGCATCAGGAAACCCACAATTACAACTCTCCATGTTCATAAACTAGGCAAGGAAAATTAAGTAAACAACTTCATTCAGGGACATGCACAGATTTAACAAAGCCTGGCATCTATTTCCAACATTTTCTCTACCACCTTGAAATAGGGAAGAGCTTCTGCTGTCTGGCCAGCTATTCCCATGCTTCACGGGGAGAGGCTTGACCTGGGCTCTTGGGAATCCCTGTGACATTCCAGCAGCACCACACAGAGATACTGGCTTTAACGTAAGAACTAGATCTTTCATAATGCTCTTAGATGCTTTTGCACTCCATGGAAGACTCTACAGAAGGATTCAGGTTAAACAAATAGCATACTTTCCTTTCCTTCTCCCTTCTTTTGCGCCTCTTTCTTTTTTATGTGTCTGTGTTGCTTCTGGAGGGCTTTACATTTTTATAAAGTTATTTACTCTTGTATGTGTTTGTGATGTGTGTATGTACGTGTAAGCATGCATGTGTGTGGTCAGAGGACAATTAGCAGAGCTGCCTCTCCCCTTCGACAGTGGGTTCCAGGGATCGAATTCGGGTCTGGAGTGTCTGCAGCAAGTGTTGGGTCTTAATGTAGGCCTCTTTCTGCCAAGTGGAATGAAGCAAAGTGGGCAGAGAAGGGCTGTGGGAGAGGTAGGGCCGTGGCCGTCCCTGAGCAGAAGGCATCAGAACAGAACACTACTGCAGCAAAGGCTGCTGGGCCAGGGCGCAGTTCAGGGTGGGACTCACCAGATGGCATGGTGACAGGGACATTCAGATGGCCTGGAGGAGATAACCATGTGGACAACGGTGAAACTGCCCCAGGGCACCCGTTCCAGGTGCTCACTGGTCCCTTGTGGCACTCATATAATTCCCAGCTGTTCTATTCTCACCACTGACCTTGGAGGTAGGCAGGCCACTGTTGGCCTCTGTCTTTCTGATGAAGACACGGTAGCCTGGATGCAATGGGCGATGGACCAGAATCAGCCCCGTAATTACATAGTAGATGTGAGGTGGCCCCAGACATCCAGTTCCCACCCCAGGATCCAAGCCTTCCAGAATGCTGCCAGCTCAGGGAAGGTGAGCACTTGAGCCTGCTGAGTCCAGAGAGCAGTGGGGCAGAGAGGCTGTGATGCCCACCGGGGGCCTTTCCGTCTCCCAGGGCTACAACTGCATACCGTTCAGGGGAAATTATAGCACATCTCCACGAGGTGAAGGCAATGTCCAAGGTCTGGCAGCCTCTAAGCAAAAGTTAAATTCTAGCCCAGGTACTTCTGATTCCAAGGCTTGTGCATAAGCCATTTCCACCACACCACGATGTCACCGCCTGTACAATTTCTGTGCTTCTGAATTTATTGTGGGATACAGAACACCCCTCTATTGATTCAAGCTGTATTGATGGAATAGTCACGTCTAAGCCTTTTGGCCTGCCTGACCTCAGTTTCCACTCTGTGAAAGGCAGATAATAAGGCTTCCTCCCAGCCCTTGTCGGGAGGGAAGTGTCTGCTATTAGTCCTGGTAGATAAGAGAGGCTCACAAAATAGCAAATCCAATTCAGCTCCAAATTATTTCTAATCTGTCCCAGTGATAGTTACAGAGACAGGGAATTTTTCTCTGCAAAGTTTAAGCATAAAAGCTTCACAGGAATCCTTTAATCTGCTCAACAAATTTCAAAACTTAATAAGAAATTTAGAAGGGAGAGCTGGGAGAGAGTCTGTGGAATTCTAAAGCAAATGCTAAGTGAGGCCAAAGGAACATTCCTCCAGGTCTAGGTAGTGC